GTTTTGAGGTGGCCACCCGTCATCAGATGTAAGAATGAAGAGACGATGTCTTGCTGAACTGAACTGTCGCTTTTGTTGGTCGATTGACAAAACAACTGTCGCAATGCATCAGAGTACAATACCCAAGCTGAATAGCATTGAAGAGCATTTATGGCCTTAATAATTCTATCAGAGCTCACCTGTTCGATATCTATTTTTATTCACCAATTTCTATCGTGTTTGATCTCATCAGGGAAGAGCAATTGGTCTTCGTACTTCAGTAACGGCCCGTTATGGGCGTAACCAAAATCACTTTGTACCTCGCCACCTTCCCGGACTACATACCGCACATCCGAAGCATCAGTGTAACTGTGCCGCCACATTAATGACCAATAGTTTAGAGACCTTTATATGTGTGTTGCACAATTTCATCCGCACCCTCAGTTCCCCTTTTCCATCTCCATAGTTAAATGATACACGCGTTTCATCTCCATGCTGTCTCATCTGAATGCGATTGGGACGATTTGAAAACAACTTTAGTGAAACTGTATACACCCACTCATTTAGTGTATTTAGGGTTAGTACATGGGGTATTCTTCTCTACTTAGAGATTATTAGAAAACGTCTGTTTCTAATAACTGATTATACCAGAGGGCAAAAAGACAAGTCGATGGTAAAACATAAAATCTGATGCGTTGATCCAAATATATGCCTATCAGTTAGTGACATCGTGCGTGACAGACAATCTCGTTTACAGAAAGTTGCAAATCATTACCGGTTGACTTAAAATAAACCCTAATTTCGACGAAACATGTCACTTTATTTCCGTAATCTACACAAAAATCAAAATCAACCAAGGTTATATGACTCGTATAGGTGAGATTTGTTTGCTAATCTCTTTCTATTTTAAAAATAAAAACCGCAAATTCAAACCATTCGCATATGCTAACTATGAACCACCCCAACGGAGCTATCAACACTTACCCTGTCCCATTTGCAGTAGGCAAGCGTTTTATCACGCATGCCCACAAATTAGTCCTTCTGGTTATCACATAGTGTCTAGAAACACTATGGAACGGTACACCAGCTTATATAAAGCTTACTGACTGTTTCATGAACCTCGAATAGTAGAAGCAATAAAACCTGAGAATATTCCACCTTTCCTTAAGTAAAGTAAAGTAAAACGGATAGTGGTGTTAGATAAGCGTGTAAAATACTAAACATTAGGGAAAATAGGTGATTTAAAATACCGCGCCGTGGGCAACGGAACAAGTAAAATGTAAAGGCATTTCTGTCCTCTATTTCGCTTAGTAAACCGACAAACACACGCACCATCACAAATGTTATCTTTCATTAATGAACGCCTATTCTTTACTTTTTGAAATATAAATACAACGATTCATTATTGTTTATAAAGCANNGCAAACAGCTAATTCGGCAAAGATTCACAAATAGGTAAATAAATTTCGAGAAGCTCAACGCAAAAACCTATACAAAGAACCAACTGCACAGTACTATTGCAGATTGTCAAAATTTCAGAAAGAAAAACAAGAAAAGTGTAAAATGAACAATAAACATTTATCTTCACTGTATGTGAAGCCTCGTCGTATTTTTGGGTTACCTTGATAGTTGAACGTCAGCAACAACACGTCCATGTTCTCCTTACAAGTAGAATCTGTGGCACATTGGGGTCGAAGGAACGCATCCAAAGCGGAGACCAGTCTCCATCGATCGGCCAAACTGTGTCCACCAGTCCACCGTTGTCCATTTTCCATACCGAAACGCATAATCACACGATGGTTGTATATAGGTGGCAGTAGTGGATTTGAGCCGGCCACGTGAACAGAAAAAGTCACACCGTCCGGCGACTGGGCGTCAGTGGCAACCCTAAAATAATAGTAGCAAGGTCTGGCTTTGGCGGTTCAAAAACGGCGAAACCTTGCTCATATTAGAATGTTATATTCAGTAATTTAGGAAAACGGGCTGATTCCAAGGTGATGTGTGTTGGTGTCTAGAACTGATTAAACATCGTGATCAACCCTAAATTGATGGGAACTGGACTGCTCAGACGCAGGCAATCGAGCTACTAAAATGATCAATTAACCTTGTGCAAATGTTTTCGCTCATAAACAACTTGAGGATTATTGCGAAATCGTTTTGAGCCGGTGATCTATAATCAGTTGTATATATACATTTCTTCCAATAGTCTGTTTCGATTTGCAATCCTATGATAAGGATGATGTGATGAGGGATACAACGATGATTGTTTCGCTGCGATTGAGTGGTTGACTCGTATCAGGATCTTTCTGGTTGATTTAAATTACATTTTGTGCAAGATAGTCGAACAACTGATCTGATATCCTTTCCCCAAGGAAATACCTATTTTCTAACCTGAAACGTTATCATCGTTTCGTTTCCGCATACAGTGACATTTTCTCCAATCAGTCGAAATTCGGAACAACTGATCCGAAAACGAGGTGATCGGCAAACCGTACAATGTCCATACGATCGTCCTACTTACTAGCACCATACCACATGCTTGTGTGCACCAATTTCTTTCCTGTGAAAAGATTTTTGAATAAGCACATCTGAGCACATTATTTCTTAAGTATAAATTCAGTATCTGGTACAATACTATTATTAGCATTGTTACATTCAGTTCTTCAGATTAGTATTTTCGGTTGGATTCAAAACTTTGAGTGGACTCCGCCAACGCTTACCAACTGCCCACACTCCTCCAGCTGAACGGCGAGACCACACTGATGGCATTGATCTTTGCTCATTGGAATCACCCAACCAACTTAAAAACAAAATCAGATGAAAACGGAGTAAAGCATTGAAACCCCGTATTCAAATATTGACACTGATTATATGTAGCCTCAACCAACTGAGGAGACAGTTAAAGAAACGGATCCAAAAAGAATGTTCCACCTCAGTGGATATTGAGCTTTCCAATGATTAGGAGAACAGTGGGTACAACATGTTACCGAAAGACACTGTGACTACCAAATAAAGTTTGAATTCCAACTCTCAAAGCTACTTCTTTGAATGTAAATATTGGCAGCCAGAAGACATCAGCAGGACTGGTGTTCTACTAACGGAATAAATTCTCAGACTAGGGAACCATGATTCACTCTTGCATTTTATCTGTAGTAAAACCGTGCGCCTTATGTTTAGTTTATCCTTTAGGAGAACGCTGTAAGAGAACTCGCGAAATCAGTAAGAATGTGGTCTTTAAACAGGAAAAGACAGAAGAGGTAACTGAAAACGTTTTAAGACGAAAATGAAATCTCTATTTTTGTGATATCACAGGAGAGCACCGTATTTTTTGTGCTGGATCACCTCATCATAGCTAAACTTATACGTCAGTTTCTGGAACCCCTGGGGTTTCCATTTTTTTCAAGGTGTGCTTTCGGGAAGCAATCGGTCATGCTCTCCATATACGTTTCTGGTGCTCAGTAAAAATCTGAAGATATAACCAATTTTTGTTTTTCACTGAAACCGTCGGAGACTTAATGCCACGAGTGTGGTACAATAATTTGCATCTAACTAACCAGTACTTGTGAGTAGTGTTGTGGAATAATTATTATTTATTGAATAAAACTGACCGTCCTTCAGACTTTACCGTCAGGCACATTACTCAGCTCTTCCAGTCAACCTTACATTCGGGAGCACTAGACTTTAGTTTTACCCGAATTAGAGCTCACCAGTAATGCATATCCACCGTTCCACCCGGGATTTGAACTCCGGACTCATCGCATGGAAGGCGTGTATTCCCATTATGCCAACCAGCTCATGCCAGGGCTAAATCGAATTATCAATTCATGTTTGTTCAGCTGTCGTCTTCAGAAATAATCAATCAATTCAATATGGCCCGACGGCAACGAATGGAGACAATTGACTATATGTTAACTTCGATCGAAAAATTGCACCCAATCAGTTCTTACATGCAGGTTAAGGACTAACTGGCCCCAAACCTACTAGGCTATGTTAGTAATTCGCATTTAACTCACAGTTACTTGTGAGTAATGTTGTGGGATAATGTCATTGATTGGCTGGAACCGACCGTGCTTCAGACTTCACCTTCACACAAAATAGACATAAAATAATCGTCATTCCCGCATCAAGTTCCATCGAACAAGCTAGAATAGAGCACCTGTTTGGGTCGGTATCCGTTATATTGACCTAGTAATAGTTTGAAATGAATTCAGAGATACAGCCAAAAAGTTACATTTGTTATTTTTTATCGTTGAATATCACTTTCACAACAATCTCTTCTCGACAATACCGTACCCTAGAAAGCTTCCTTTAGTCTCTCATTCCAATTCGTTTCATATTCATGATCAATAATCACCGTGTTCTTCTGGTACTATGCCGTGTTCCTTAAAGCAGTGCAATATTTTATGCAATCCAATCAAATACTAACTCTTCGATTCACATCCTATATGCTTTTTAATGTCCTTTATTCTGTAAATGCATTTTTCTTCTCATGTATCATCTTCCTACTTTAAGTAAAACATCTCAAAAACAAGCATTCTCATTTTGAATACCATATATAAACCAGACAGCCTCAATATGTTGTTTCTGTATTAGTTCACATTATTACGTATAACAGATGGTCTGCATTCACACTGCTGTCAATAATCATTTTGATTCTTTGCTATAGTGAATAAATGGTCCAGCAAAAGACTGGAACTAGGTTAGTACATAAATGGAAAGTCATTCAAAATAGTCTTTCAATAAAGCCCATCTTGTCTTCAACTTGGAAGAAATCGTCTGGCTTCTGCTAAAGACAGCATTTGCTATCCCATCAAATGTATTTTTGATCACCGGCACGGACGACTGAGCACCTACATTGCGGTTGATGATTTCCTGCCGAGACTCAAACCGACGACCTTCTTGTTTGTAGTCCAACGATTCAACGTTTAGTTCCGAAACTTGTGGGCAACACACTTAAAAGATTAGCGCAACACCAGACTTCTGTTACTTCACGAGAAAACCTCCAAGTATTGACGCTTACAGATCGAGCTCCAGAAATCTATGCGCAACGCTCAGTACCTAGCAGAACACTGTAAATGTTTTTCCTGTAGAACGTCGATGCCAGTTTCTTTGGTCAAAAATATTGCACACCTCATTTGATGAAAACCACAGGCAAACATAATTGTTAATCAGTATAAATGTCAACTATCCTCGAAACTCCTTTTCTAAGAAATTCTGATTGGCCAAATGAAATACAAGAGGTTGATTGGTTTGCATTCAAACAGTGCTATTTATAGTCCGCATGCGACTGATTGTCTACAATCAACGATAAACTAATTTTTGGATTTTAATTTGTTTTTTCTCCAGGTAGAGACTTAGATTTGGTTCCTTGCTGTCTCGCGGGAACCGAAAGTGTTCAATGCAATTTTCTCATTCATTGAAAACTGTTAATGGGCTTTTGCATTCTTGTGGTATCGATTGTTCCTAAAATCCTTTCGCTAATTGTACAAAAAATGTTTTCAGTTTTATCCTTGGAGCGGAATCTTTATTCAAGATAGATTTGCCGAAAAGTTTGCAGTAACAAACTTCAGGTGGATCAATTAGCTAGAGCTTAAATGTTTGTATTATGTTACCAAATTCCGAACATAAACAATCTAACATAGAAGCTATTATGAGACTACAAAGCAAGCAGAAGCAAAGTATGATTTGGGTTGCGCTAAAGGTGAACCTGAAAAATGGCCACCCTTGATTCTCTTCTCTCATTTTGATTTATGTATGAGTGGCAATTTTTGTTTTACTCGTCTTGAAACTGAATGATTTAATTAATGCCTATTTATAGGTTGCATAGCATAATCATCATCGATTTCAATGGTTAACTTAGAGATTTCAGATGAAGACGCTTTTGTAAATACCTGTTTTTCTGTAACCATTTGGGTTGATGGTCACCACCGGGCAAATTTTCTCACACCCGCAGATTTGGCATGACATAGTATCAGTAGCTTCACCCATGTTTTACGTTTTTTCAGTCACAGAAATTCAGTTGGCACCTTTCATGGATCAGTTTGTACATTCCTTTTTGAGGCCATATAACTATTCGTACTGGCAGATAAACAGAGAAAAGCTGTCAATATGCGGGTAGGACTGACAAATATAATGTGATATGCTGTCTTTCTACCCTATACATCGAGTCTTTATAGAATTCGTCTGGTTTAAAAATTGACGTTCAAACACAACAAGGCCTCACTTCCCGGGAGTTAACAAACTACCCTACGCTTGGATGGCCATCCACCTAGATGATTTTTAAGCAGACTAATCACATCCGTGTGTGAGGTTTTACTTCCATATATGCGTTCGACTCATTTTTGCTTTTTACTGGTACACTGCGCAGTTTTGAAACGTTTTTTCTCCGAAGTAACCAGCCAATTTTTACTAGAGAGAATGGTTGCACTGATTTTCTCACTGAAGGATTTGCCGATGGGAGTGAAAGGAAATAAATTTGAAAGTCTAACTAAGGTTTTGGGTTTTCAGGGAACAATGTCTTTTGCTTTATCATATTGGAATCTGTCATTCCTTTCGACCAGGTCAATCACATATGTCATTTAGCGAGATACATCAGAGGGCAGACCAGTCAAGATAACACCGCAATTGTATGACCTAACTTTTTGTGGTCACAGACATATCCGGACCGGTTTACCGATTAAATTGACCCTAACTTGTGCCCATTTTGAACTATGATGTTCTTAGTTTATAAAACCTCAAAAAATATAAAGCCTAAATTATTTCAATAGCTTAATGTCATTCACCGAACTAAATGCATCAAAAATGATACAAGGTGACAGGTTTGAGTTGAAATTTGGAATTTTAGTTTGTTCTAACTGGGATATGGTGAGGCTGCAGATATGACTGGACGCGCTCCCCAAAATTAACGTTTCTACGAGGGTAAGAAAATCGAGAATTGATCAATAAAATTACTAAAATCACCCCTGAACACTTATGTGGATGCGGTTGAAATGCAGAGTTCCGTTGCTCACCTGAAACGATACGTTATCGGTTGAACCGCGTTCCCCATCAATATTCCGTATATGGTTACTTTATCGTCTTCCAGACCGATCCAGCTGGATGTACCAATACGTTGTCCAGCTGTAACAAAACAAGGATTACGCGTGAAATGTGGCATGCAAACTATCTCATTGATCAATCTGCTGAATAGTACCGAATTGCATGCCAAGTCACGTAGACATTTTTTGTTGCGCACTGGGTGAAATCTGTGACCGCATAGCAGTTATGCTTCAAACAAGGATTAACTTTGCATGGATCACATTGGCAACAAAATCAGAAATCTTTCCGGAATAACTGTGAACTTTCCGGAGTTTAGAGAAATCTAGCTGAGCAACAGTCACTTCTAAGCATCGTTATGCGCATGAATTTATTTACAGTGAATGATAGGATAAGTAATAAGGACACATAATAGGTAGGAGGTGAGAAAGATCGGCTAAGCATTTTCCAAGGACAGCTCTGACAGCCCTCACCAATAGAGCCACAAAGTGCTATAGGAAGCCCATATCAGGAAAAAAGCTTTTCAGTAGTGCGGGGTAACTAGCAAATGACTCAATGAGGCAAATTCCAGAAGCAATTAAAAATATAAATTGTAACGCAAAATAAAATGTAAATTATGTCGACTTCTAGAACACAAATGAGGAGAAAGCAGAACACTCGAGGGTATGAAATGGAATGTCAGGATATCTGAAATAAAATTTTCCATCCATTTAATTATTCAAAATGCGTAATAGATCCAATGTCATAATTCTTCCTTCCACATGGCTAACAGCTTAATATTGCTAAAACTGATTATCATGTTATTAATTTAAACTTTGCAATATTTAGGTGTTATTCTGTGTGCAGCAAGTAGGAATAGTTAGAATTGACCATCCAATTAGACCTTCCAGTGAAAATGTGATTGAAGCCAAACTGTAAATTAATCATGATCAATGGTAAAATACCTTTCAGTCAATAGGGGAATGTTACAAAAAACAATTGGATGATTCCATTTGATTTTATAGTGCATTTCATTTTACACAGAGCAAATGAAGCGTGGACCGAGGAGCTAGGATGCATCTGACAACTGTTTTGACCTAGTTGGGTCTCATCCGCGAAAGCCTTCATATAATCAAACTAAATGTTCCATCCCTGTCATTTCACACGTACTCATTTTCGGAATGTTTACAACGCAGTCTCAAGCCCGGAAGCCAGTGCTGGGATGAGCGTAGTGCAATGCATGCACCAGGCTCGCAAATATTAATTATAGTAAAGACAAAATGAAAAAAAACGATTTGATCAGCTGCCCGGTGACTAGGTGAATAGTAATCTCGCATTCTAGCTCCGAGATGCATTCTATTATCAGTTGATTTGATAAATAAACACTAATGACGTGATCAAACGAGATGAAATCAATTCTCCAGTTCTCCCTAGCTTTTTAATTCATGCTACCTATGCTCTTTGCACAAACACATTTATCATATAATATTGGCGTTCGGTAACAATACAGCCACTATACCAAGGTCATATCAAATTGATAACACGCTGTTGTTTACCAGATATTCCCTGAGTGCATTGCCTGGATTTCATGACCAAAGCAACCAAATCCAGAAAAATTAGTCTTACCATTATTTCTACAACAATTTTGAATGCACATTGAAAGGGATGGTCCATCAATGATATAACGCTGTACAGTGAATCCTTCAAACTAAACAAGTTGCGCGATACGACGGCTCCTCTGAGTACGGAAACAGAACAGTCTCAGATAACAAATATGCAAAGGTGCTTCCAGGAAACAACTTGCCTGTTTTATCGGTCTCCTGCTTATCTGAGGAAGATGATCTGCATTTATCATAATGCAACCAAAAATAGTCTAGATCTCGACCCATTTTAACTTATATAACTGATGAATAAAATGTTCACTTACTTATATCATATAGGTGCAGCTCTTCTTTGGTATTCCGTTTCAGCAACTCTGCGGATGGAATTTTGTATCGGAAACCTTCACCTACAGATAAGATAAATTAGAAGTATATGGAACAAAGGTTGTTTTGCACATGTGACATCACAGTAAATAAAAGTGTGACACTGAAAAAAGTTTAAGAACATATCGTCTTTACTTATAATTTTTTCCGAAGGTAATTTTTATGTTTTTTCCGTGAAATACATCATCGGGGTTTATGCGGTATGTCATAAAATCGATAACCGTAAGTGTCTTTTCATCGGGATTTCCTGATGTAAACATACGTTTCTCACAACGTTTGCTAGTTGACACATACCTAACCCTTTCAACCGAACCAAATACACTTTTGCGCTGTCCGTCTAGTCCATCTCACAACTAACAACTGTAACCTGTTTTTTCACAGCCAGCAAAAGAACAAGAATAAATGGTTGACTTTCCTTCGTCATATGCCTACACGATTCAGAGAGGGGTGAATAGGTTAGTGTGAATTGTGGTCATGCTTTGCCATTTGACTCGGTTTCAGTGGATTCAAGTGCAAATGAATAAAAGCTGAGATTTCTACGGAACGGTTTGTTTTCAACGAGACCAATCACTTAGTATATGCGTCCAAGTCAGTGGCAGTTCTCACTGGGTGTCAAACTGAAACAATTCTTAACATAATAGATGATTCCCATAGACTTAACTATTGCTCACTGGTCACCACATGATCTGAGGTTCTTGAAGAAACATAATTTGCCATACGAGTTTGTTTTCAATGCGCCATCAACTAATGGAGTGTAAAGTTTAACTAATTAAGCGAGTAGAGTGAAGCCCGAGATGTTCACTCACAGAAACAAAGGGTAAACAGGTATTATTTGTGAACTCATTTTGGTCCTGATAGATTACAAACAAATTGCAGTCAAATGATGAAGCGTATAGCTGAGTTGACTGAACAAGGATTAGAACAACGACAAGTACGAACCACCTTCCGCTGTCAAACTACTAAGACAATGTGCTCGAGGGTTTTCCTTCTCTCCGGGTTGTCAGACATGTAGATTCCATCGATGGCATAACGTCCTCTGAAGCCACTTGAATCGGTTTATGATATAATGTTGGCTTGATAGATTATTTACATATCACCAGTTAACCGTACTTGTCTTCAACATTGCATGTACAAAACGCAAGCAAATTAATTATCATACTTAGGTTCTATTGATCCAAAAGTAGCTCCAAGCTTGTTACTGACCTTCATCTTAATCCATAGCTGCTCAACCGAAAACCCAGATATAAAAACTTTAAAAAAAATTCAATTGAGAGCCTCCTCAAATTCCCAAGACCTAAAATGATGTCTGGTATCTTTAAATAAACCAATTAACCTAATTTGTTAGATTCATTTGTTATCTTTCGGTTACGCAACACTGAAAATCCAGTAATTTCTCTAATATCTTTATGTTTTCCATTTATAAAACGTATTGATAGAATTTATCTCCTTGTTCTTCCTTCACGGAAGCTCGGAGGTTATCATTTCATACAGTATCGAAAACATTGTCGGCATCGTTAAACTTCAGTATGAACGAGGTTAGCGTTTCCCCAAAAGGACATAATCGTCGCTTGCCTTTCGCAAAATGCCTTCCTTGAGCTCCGTGCCATCTTGATGAGTCCTAGAACCTGAATTATTGTAACGGAAATATTTTCATTGATGAGAGAAAACAAAATGCGGAGCTTCAGCTTCATAACCATGTCGACGAAGCCATCCAGAATGAGACGCTTGAATTGTCTCCAAGGCCTCACGGCTGGCTTGGATAACCAACAAAAAGGATCGAGTATCCGAAGGGCATACGATCCGGCCAACGAAATCTCGCCAAAACAAACCGCGGACTCGACACAAACTCTTCGATTTTGTGGCTAAGATTGTTTTATCTAGGGCGATCGACTACTTCAACAGTTCACAATGGTGTCATTAAACCAGCCATCAGGTCCTGTGATTTTAACGAAAGTTTTCTTATACTAAAAAGCTTTTATCAGCACGTCTGTGTGAGCCCTATGACGAGATATGTTTGGTCAGTTTACCGGATCTGCTTTGTTTTCCCGTCAAAATCTGTACCTCTTAAGTTTCGCGTTTTCTCTTCCATGCCAAAACCTGCACAAAACATTATTATATTTTCTGAACGAACTAATTTTGTGGATTTATCTCACCTGAGTTCACTCGCAACCGAGATAATTCTCTCAGACCGAGTTCGTCAATGTTAATCACAGTGACTGCAAGATTTTCGCATAATAAAATGTATATTTATAAGGATTACAAACTGAAATGTTCAGAATGCAGAACTTTAGTCACAATCATTCTTCTAATTTGTGAAAATTTCAGTTACTTTGGTGGAAGTCGAGCCCACGCGTGCACACCGCCTAAAGGTCTGCACTGCACAAGCTCAGCTACGAGGTCACACCGATACCAATAATCTTTTCACTTTGGGATAGCTTATCTTACTTAAAGAGACATACGGAATCCACTAGGTAGCATATAAGCTGACTGCCACCGCGGGTTTTCCATAAAACCCATCGGAATCCACCGATTACACACCTTAATCTACTAAACATTATTGGTGACTAGTCTCGTTTTTGGCTACATTTCACAACTGTCTCATCCGATTCCGATGCGCTTTATTACATGAACATCAGTTGGTTACATTGTGTAAAACTATACATTACATTGCAAACGCCAACAAAGTCAAATAAGCCACACTTGAAATAATGTAAGCAATAAATCACTGAATAATAATAATTGGGTTTTGTTCATTAGCATGTTGCGATTTAAAAATTGTGAAGAATTGGTAAAACGGTAAGAATAATAGAACACTGATTATCAACGGATCACTGGGTCGCAAAGCACAATTTGCGGACAGTCTTAAAGCGGCACGACAGTAATCTGAGTCATTTCCGTTCTCACCTTCACCTTACCCCACTCTACCACACACACCACACCCACACAACGATCGGAGAGTTTTCTCTCCCGGTAAGTCAAGAGAGTGACATTCAGTTACGGTGAATGTGAGCAGACTAATCTTGTCGGAGTCCAAGAGGTAAAGAGCTAAAAATCTCCCATGGGAATTTCCTCGATGGGTCTAAACGAGTTTCCGAATTCCAACCGTTAATTTGTCATCATGAATGTCAGATAAACGTAACAATATGAGGACCAAGGTTTACGCATGAAAACACAGGTGTTCGCTTTTTGCTGTGTTGATACACGCCAGTAAATAGCTGTTATTCAGACTGAAAGACAAGAATATCCGGATGCACGTGAAGAAATGGAACAGATTATCCCTGTATCTCACTCAATAATTGTTTTTCTTTTTGAATGGCAGCTAATGGAACATCTTTCTGTCCAACGCATAGTTATCTTTACATTTGTAGTAACATCATTCATCATTTTCCCTGAGTCACCGATAGTTATTATGTACTGTAAGTTAAATGTAATTAAATTATCTTCTTTTATCACAGTACAACTGAGAGGATCTTTCACCAGTTAACGAGATGTGTTATCAATAATGTATGGTTTCCAGGTTAATAATACATACGGTTTATGATTTTTCTTCACCTTACCTGTATATATTGTAAACGTAGGCATAGGAGAACCGGAAACGTTCATCCATTGTCTCGGTTTTTCCATTGTCATACTGACTTCAGATTTGTTCTCTAATCCTCGAGCACACACTCCCATTCGGTCCACAACGGCCGCCTCAACTGTACCCAGCCCTGCCGTGGCCAAATGATTCCGAAATGAGGCAGACGGTGCAGCCCATGGAGCCAAAAATATCTGTCCGTTGATTGTATACCCAGTCACAAGACCCATGTTCTTTTCCATGGATACCACCGAAGGGGCGAATGTAAGCAAGTTTTGTAGTCGATTCAGTCTTTCCCATGGACAGACCGATTGCACATTTGTAGATGAATCTGGTGCGAACGAGATTCCTTCCGGATTTTGGGGATCCAATTTGGCATTTTCCATCAGTAACGATAGTTGTGCCCATACGATAAAAATAGCATTACCGTCTATGTCATATTGTCAAGAGGGGAAGACAGGAAAAATGATTAAATATCGATTTAAATGCCTTGGCATGATAAGAAATCCATTGAAACTAATCTGTGGTATTGGTGGTGTTGGGGGTTCTGTTTCCGTCTTATATTACTTACGATTGATACTCTACAACTATTAGTTGCATTGCATTTGGTCTGAGTATCTAATTACGATTCTTATTAATGTCTTCAGTGCGAATGCGAAATACTATGAATTCACGAGTGATTGACATTTTTGGCTATGTCACTTATGAAGTTTTTGATATAATCTCAGTGATGTTTTGGGTCAAATCTTGTATATAACTCGCAAAATCTACAATGCAACGCAGTACAAGGAATATAATGATGACGCAAATGGAATACATCTACTGTAAAGCAGCGTTTACTCCATAAATACATTTCCTGTGAATTATTTCTGGAATCCTCTGGCTGGAACGGCCCGTGGTTGGTTAAACTCCTGGCATTTTTCGAATCACAACTAATAAAGGTTTATCTTATTCTATAAGTTGAACTTCGTATTATTAAAGAAAGTAATGATATACCCATCTGAGTTGGTCCTCAAAAACTTGCTACTAGTCTACACTGCAGGATTTATTGTTCAATTATCACTATTGATCAGACGACTGCAAGCGAAATTCGGCTATCGCATGCAATAATTCTCAGCAGCGTTCCACGAGGACCTAGCGGAAATCTGTGCTGACTCATACGTGTCACTGCTAATTTTGAGAGAGGATGAAATAACTAGATACTCTGGTTTCTCTTTATACTTTACTAGAATAAACTTTGATAATTCCAAAATGTGTTAATACGGCATAAGGCAACTTGAGTACTTGCGTTTCTACGAAAAGAAGGAAAGCATCAGTCACATGGAAAATTCCTTGTAAATAAAGCATTAACAAGCTTCAGAAATTCTCAGTATGTTCGGAGGTGAATGTCTACGGTGGCGGCTCGTCGCCCCTTGCACCTCGCGAAATGCTCCCATACGACCAAGCGTCACAAATAGCCTATGCTGCGGAAGCCCTACCCCTGCCTTCTCTTGGAAGTGTTTTCGAACCAAAGTGAGAGGACGAAGAGCCGACAACCGGGGCTATAACCGGGTTGGTCGACCAATGGCAGTTCATCTAAGGGAGTTAGCCCAAATCACTGATTCTAAATCAACCACCAAGAGGAGTAGGAATCACACCCACACCTTCTCGGTTGTGACAGTGGTCACCGGCTTGACTGGGCATTGAGGTATGTTGAGCACCTTGGACGTTTGACCTCGCCCAAAGAGCGTATGATCCATTGAACTGGACAACGGCCCCCAATAGATTGCGGTTTTCACATGCCGCCCCGCTGCCGTGCGGGTCAGGATTTGGCTGGCCGAAAGCATCGGTGGTGGATTCCTCGAGAAAATTCCTCTGCCTTGGCCTGGGCAACTTGGCAGTATTCGGTCAACATGCAAATTATGGAACGTTTTTCTTTTGATAAAGATTGTTGTACCATGATTTGTCTGGCACACTGTGACCTCAGATGGGTGTGAAATATAATAAATATATATGTATAAAGCAATAACTACATACGAACTAACGCTTGATTATTCGATTATTGTCCCCTAAAATATATCATAAGCTTAATTTTCAAACATACACAACTGAGCCCATCTTCTGCTGTCTGTAGACACAAGTCTAATTCTTTCAAATACCACACGTGCCACGATTTTAAAACAAATAGAAAAAACTGCCTGAAGGTCACACATAATGGATTTGGTTGCTGAATAATACCGTTTGGTTCATAAATAAAAAACGCACCTTGTTTCTAAAATGCTTACCCTCAAAATATGAGAGCCAATAATATGTTATCACCGTTACAATTTGCTGGTATCCTTCACTTTTTACTCCGCATCTGGGCTATATTCACGCATTAGGTTTCGAAGGTGACACAAATATAGCTAAAAGTTACAAGGTCCTACTTCACCAACCTTGTTTGTTAAGTTCCCAAATACCGACATCTGGATTGCAAGGAGGCGGACAGTGAGGTCGAAGAAATTTATCAATAGCAGTAGACAAATGCCACCGATAATCCAAAGAATGAATTGGTTCAACACCCCAGTTGGTGCCCGTTGTTGCGGGCATGATGCGTAAACGAACGCGGTGGTTTGGTAGACGCGTGGACGAAAGATCTCCCGATCTCGGCTCAGCATCCGCACCGAACCAATCCTGAACCTCGACTGTGAACCCCACAGATATTGGAGTTTTCTGATCCACCGAGTAAATCTGTAGGCTATTTAAACAGGTCAGATTGTGAATATCGATGATGTTCAGATATGGAATTAAGTGTCGCAAACGGTTTGTCAATGAAGTGGTCTTAAACACAACTTAAAGCACACCCTTTCGAACCTTTTTGCTATTTATAGAATGTGGTTCAATGGACATGTAAAATCCGGTTCCCTAAAACAACATTTAATTACATTTAGATTCCTATCTTCAGATATAGCGCACAAGTAAGATCAGTTACCATATTAAAACCACTATGATCATCTAGAACCGACCATTTGGGTATTACACTTTCGAATGTCACTCAAAAAGAGTGAAAAGTAAAGCGATGATGAGAGGAAAGGTTGGTAAACAAGGTTCGGCTCCGTCCTTTATGGACTGGCGAAACACGACAAACAAGGTGATGGGTGACATATGAGGGGGAAAGAATGAAGAGCTCACGTCCAGTTGGCATAGATTCATTAATCGTTACGTTTGTTGGATGAATTAACGACAGCTCAAGGACGGAGACCGCGCGCGACCTTCGATTGGCTGTGCTACACTCTCGTGCTTGTTCGTCACGTTGGAATTCATCGTTTGCCTCGTCCATATAACGGTGCTAATCATGACCAGGATCTACAAATATTCTCGTCAGGACATGCTACCACTAAAAACTGTATTCTGTGCTACCTACTGATTAGTTGCTTTCTGAGAGTCATAAAAGCCATGTGATCAAAAA